ACAAGGTGCATAAGAATAGCGTCACTGACTGTGAAATATAATAAAAAAAATAATATTGAATTTGTTATCAAGTAAATTGGATTTTCGGTAAACGTCAATGACCGAATTACGGCTTTATTATGCTTCCGTTCATACAGCTTTTGCATGCAGAAATGGGTAGTGGGATAAAATCATGTTAAAACTGAACTGCTTCCGTGGCCGAACGGTTACCATGCCGGACTGCCACGCAGAGGTCCCAGGTTCGATTCCCGGGCCGAGAGATATATGTGTATGGCCTACATTTGTTTCTCTAGTGAGTTTGGGTGTAATTTGTGGTTGTCTATGTGTGGTCCATGGCACCCGCGACACAGGTTTTCCCTAGTGCGGGACTATGAGTGTGTTGCGTTATTATACTATTGTTATTATTGCACGGCTTTTTGCCTAAAGCGCCATGTTTTAACCCATTTTTGCCCAAAATCGTAGGCTAAAACAGCGAATACGAATTTTGGTGTAATTACATACCTATTACAAATTTCGAAGTAAAAATATTTTTTTCAGACGAAAAAGATCCTGATCGATCAGTCCAATGCAATCCTGTAGATTCGCACTGTTAAGGATGCACATTACGATTCGATTTTTATGAAAATCGATTCAAGTTTATACAGTCTGATGATTTTTTGCACCGATTTATTTCAACACGACTTTCAAGTGAATCGATTCAATGGAAAGGCAAAATGAATCGTCTAGGAAAGCTGTAATAATATCATTAAATATGAACAAAACTCGATGTACAACACATATTTAGTTGTAAATAGTATTTGCTCTCGATTTTGGGCGTCAATGGGTTATAACCCGATTTTAACTCAGTGTGCTTGCCCTTTTCTGATTGCATGTGGACATGAAATTTAAGCAACTAAACAGCCCTGAGAAAATGAAGTTAGTCTTATCCTTATTTGTAAAAATGTAAGTAACTATTTCTACCGCCGCGCCGAACGTCAATAAAAGCATTACTGTGTTCCAGTTTTGAAGGGTAAGGGTGCTGGTGAAATTACAGGCACATGGGACTTGTCAACTTGTGTCTCAAGGTGTCTCAGATCTTTTTGATTTAAAGCTCTGAGTGGTGCTGCAGATATAGATAAGTCTTCAACTTATAATGACGGAAAAGGACTTTGAACTTTCCTTTGACGTATCCTAACCTATTTATTCTGGGTATGATGGGGTACAACGCAGTAGGGGTACGGAGGGAATTAGCAATGGTTTTTAATGTGTTTCAATTGTTAAGAAGCAAGATATGCATGCAGAGGTTTTGATTCGTGTGGGTCTTTGCGATCCTGATGGGAAAACCAACCTGCTGAACAGGGCACTGCTGATACGAGGGATGAGGACTTTGAACGTTATTGATGGGAAAATTGACCTATTTGCCTATTCTCCGTGTGAGTTCAATAAAATAGCTTTATTTGTAATGCGTTATGGAATATAATAACAGTTTGTAATGTAATTTGGCACAGCAACGGGGTCAGCGGCGAGCGTGGCTGAGCCCTATCTAGTCAAAATATTTTTATATACGAGTGTTATTAACGCAATTAATAAAAAACAATCCTATTTGTCATAGTTAGTATGCAAATAAATGTATTGGTTAATTGTTTGCTATATTTATTTTACTAATTGTCCAAGAGTAACTCATGCAATATTTATGAACTATTTTATGAAGGATTGGTTTATTAAATATAATTCATTATATTGTGACCTAATAATAATTGTTAATATAATTTAATAACAGTTAAAGTATAGCATCTAAGGCATAGTTTTCCAAAGAGGTCTCTACCGCCCTCCAATGGGCGCTGAAGAGTTCTGGGGGGTTCTGTCCAGCGAGTGCTACCGCATTTGAAAAAAAAAAAACAAATTATCTTTATAAACTAATATATATAATTTGCTAAATATACTAAATATATATAATATGCTTCCTGGTGATTTTTTGTGTTAAGTTAATATAAAAAAAAAATACATGTTTCCAATTATTTTTTGTGATGGTGGGCGATGACATTTTTTTATCTTGCCTAAGTGGGCGGTAAGCCATAAACTTTAGGAACCTATGATCTAAGGGGTCATTAAAGACGAATAGATCTACTTAGGATTGCAGTCTTTGGCGCTATCGTCAGCCCAATTTACGGACGTGGGAATTATTGCAAATTCTTCTATTTTTACGGTTTTAATGTTATGAATGCGAGCTACATAGCAGTACACGATGTCGTCTAACCAAGTAAGTAAATTATTTAGTCTGTGTATCTAACACTGATTTATTGAAGCGCCTACAAGAATTTTATAAGCAGCAAGAATTATACTTTTCGTAAATTTTCATTGCCACACAAAATTGGACAGGCATTGTTATACGCCAGCCATAAAACCGCCATAACTTTATCGGAGATTATGAAGAACACTTTTATATGGAAAAAAAATAATGAAAATAGATGCTAAGATTGTCTGTACGATCTATTGTTTCTGTTTTTTTTACTTGTGCTGAGTATTTATATAGGTTAGGCTTTTTCGGGAATTAAGTAAGTAATGTAGACAGACGGTCACAAACAAATACAAACGTATATCCCGCTAGATTGGTTTACTTTAGCTACTTTCACAGTTTGATGACGTACGGTATTTTGCTTTAGGGTGAAGCTGCTGAACTTAATAGAACCTTTTTGGTTTTAGGGAGAAAAGTATGTATAAAAAAAAACTAAATATATATTGAGAAATATGAACAGAAATTTACAGAAGCATAGTTTGATAGCAAGCATATACCTACTTTAAATGAATTTGTGACTTTGTGAAGATCACAGTCAAGAACAGCAATTTATCTTTCAGATTTGTTTGTTTAATAAACCAACGGCTTGTTTCTGGCCCTTTACAGGGGGGCCTATTCCTGTTCTCCATTCGATATTCGTCCGAAACAATTACGACTAAAAATAACTAATACAATGTCAATTATGATGAAGCTTCATTCGGGTTTTGCGTCTTTTCATTTGTCTCGTAATTGTTATTGCACTCTTCGAAACTGTATAAATCAACAACTGACCGAATTCCTCGAAACTGACAATGGCCCAAGCCTAGTGGCCGCCATTAAGGAAATAATAATAAGGTAAAAAATTGTTATAATTAATGCGCCATTTAGTTTCACAGAAATACTCAAATATCAAATTTAGCGCGCGAATGTGCAAAACTGTGAATTAAAAATGTAAGAAAGAGGGATCGACATTCCGCCTAGTTTTAAAACCACATGTTCTAAATTCTAAAAATATTCTCAGTTCTATTCGTGTCTATTTTATTCGCCTAAAGATTTTTATTGACGATGCGATTCAAAGGTAAATAAGTGTAAATAAATCTCGCTGTTTGTTAGTAATTTTCTAAAAAAATATCATAGGTCTTCTTCTTGCCGTGTCGATAGTTCTTTTATTATAGGACTATAATTGACCATGAATAGTACTTTGCTATTTTGACTGCACTGTCCATGGGCGCGTAGAGATCTTCCCTCGTACAGTTATTAGGACACAAGGGGCACAACAGTAAGTGCTGCACGGACTGCGTTGGGGCACCGCAGTTACATTACGCTTGACTAGTATCCTTGAAACCCCATTTACACATCGTGTCTCTGCAGCGTCCTACCTGTTTATATCGTAGGTATTTTTTTTATATTTATAACTACGTAATTTACTCTATTAAACTAGTCGAAGTTCTCGCTGGCCTGTCCCAGATTGTGATTGAAAACACGATAAGTGGAAGATGAATATGACATTGCCAAACTAATTCCTGTGCAGCAGCAGGCACTGACCTCTTCGTTTATACAGACGAACTGGGAACTATAAATGTTAGACATTGTTTTTACTGAACACTCATTTAAATCCCCTTTTGATCTTCAATAGTTGGTTCAGATGTCCTTGCGAAAGAGTTCAAATTCCGGGGAAGTAGATACTACGAGCATACTTATTTGTACCGCTAAGTAGCAATGCTCACATTTCTTCATCCAGCTTTGAAGAAAGGGTGCTGGTGGAAGGGTGATGGGCGGAATGGCAAAGCTTCTGGTTTTTATAAAGCTTTGCGTGGCATTGCAACTGTTCTGAACACGCGTGTCACTTACCACCACGCGCATCATTTGTACATCTCGTTACACGATATCTTAAAAAAAGTTTAACGTAAGGTCGATTAAGTCCCCAAAATTAGGGACCCAAAATGTTTTGTTGGAAATGAATCTATCTTTTGTCAAAATGTCCTGTCAAGTACAATTTGTTCATACAAACCACGTTACGAGCTTTAATACATGTGAAAACTAGACCCCGCGTGAGTCGATCGTGGAATCGTCGACGCTGGCGGGGTCGGCGTGAAATCAGCGTGACATGTTTTGAGTTTGTATTAATTTTCAACGTTATGACACTTTATCTTGAAAGTTAGCAGATACTGTATACATGGGTTTGTCAGTCCAACGGGTGGAATAGTCTGCCTCCCCGTTTTGGTATAATATGAATAGGATGTACGAAGATAGGTAACGTAATTCATTTTAATTTGTCTGGAATTATTGTATTGAAACATAGTAAATAATATAATTAACAAGAAAACTTAAAAAAAATTTACGACGCCGATTTTACTCCGGTAAAATTCAACGGCGCGGCTGCATAGACTAATCGGGTACATCTCTAGCCACGAGTCACGGTTAACTGAGATGGTATTAGTGCTCATTCAGTTATATCTAATATTAATACAAACTACAAACTGAACTACAGTTGCAAATATTATTATTAAAATATTCCCAAAAAACGTTAAGTTTGTAATTGTTTTTATTACTCTGCTCCGTTCACTTGCAATAAGCAGAGACCGTATTTATATTTAGTATTGATTTTTAAGCTATTATAATATATATGTTATTATCATTTTCGTTAAGGTACTTGTTATTTTCTTAATTAAACTTATGCATAATTAGGAAAATAAATAAATAAAAGGTTGTGGTTCTAAAAATCTAAACTAACGTTTGTTCTCAGGCTGCTGTGCTGGCATTGGCGGTTTGCCCACAGAGCTGTCTTCTGGGCTCTGATAATGACAGCTGCCGCTCTCGATGGATACGACGAGCCACCTGGAGACTTTGATTATTGGGTAGGTAATATAGTCACTTGAAAGTCATATTCTTTGGAAGGTTAAATTTCACATTGTCAACTGCTGAGAATGTCCCTCTTTCAAGGATATGGTCAAAGTATAATAAGACAAGTAGGGTAACTTACTGCCTCCGTGACTGAACG